CGGCACCAAAAACAATTTTAAAAAGACCAGAAAGAGGTGATGAAACATGAAAAGGCGTGGACGCAGGGAGGAAGAGCCTTCCAGGCAGAGGGCACAGCTATGCAGAGGCCCTGTGGTAGCACAGAGCCCTGTGGGGTGCAGGAGCAGCAAGGAGCCCAGGGGGCTGGAGCACAGGGAGCGAGGGGCAGAGGGGGAGGCAGGGAGGGGACAGGTGGTCGTGCAGGGCCCTGTGGGATGCAGGGAGGACCTGGCTTTGGCCCAGGGAGGTGGGAGCCGTGGAGGGCAGAGGGGTGACTCGGTGCTCACTGCAGGGACCAGGGCAGAGGTGACGGGGCTGGTCCAGGTGGAGGCAGAGAAGCAGGTGGCATTCAGGCAGGTGCCAAAGGTGCCAGCCCCTGGACGCCCCCCCTGAAGGTTACTGCTGCTGCCTCCGGGAAGCCCACCCAGAGCCCCAGCCAGCTGCCGCTGTGTCCTGGGCGCACACCTGGGGCAGCTGCCCTTGCAGAGGGACACAGGGCCTGATCACATCAGCTCCTGCAGCTGGGATGCTGGGGGTAATTTTTTTTTCAAAATAACTTTTCTTCTAATTATAAAATAGACATGTGCAGGAGAAAATTAGGGAAAATCAGCACAAAGAAGAAAATAAAAATTACCCACAATCTCCCCTTCTCCAGGAGAGGAAGTGTTAGCGTGTGACTGTTTCCACTCATTCTTCCCACAAACATTTACTGAGGACCTATTATGTGCCAGACTACTGGGGACATGGTAGTGGTGGGGACAGAATCAGCATCCCTGCCACCACATAGAAAGAAAAAACACGGTAGCTGGGTGTGGGGCACAGGCTTGTCATCCAGCTCTTCCGGAACAGCATATACCAAGGTCCTGAGGCCAACTGCTTCTGCCAGTTTTTCTTCTATGTGTGCAACTGGATTCTTTTCCTTTATGAATTGGGGGTCGCCATTATGAGGCTATTTGCCAGCATCTGCCCACAGAATCTGACGGGTTCCTACTCGTCCCCGAGAGAAAGGACACAATGAGGGTCATCCTCTCATTTAGCTGTAGCCAGGTGTTTCCAACAGATAAGTCCCAAGGCTGAGGCAGCTGGCAGCACTGCTCTCAAACCCCTAAAACCTGCCCTCTGCCAACACTCTGCCCTAGACACACCCTCACCAACCACTTCCTCATATTTGAGGCTCAAATCCTTGCAGGTTTTATTGACGTCAACCACCCAAATGCATACCCGGCTTCCATTGGGAAAGAAACTGGCCTGGCAGCTCCAGGGGCCCCTCCTCAAGAGCCGGCATTCGTGACCTGGGGCAGGGACGTGTGCTGACCGGCAGGGGGCCCGCCGCGCCCACTCAGGCAGCTCCACCTTGGGCCCTCATCCACCTGGCAGCCACCCCACAGCTGGCATAGTGCCCACTGCAGGCGCACCAGAGCTCCAGCCTGCCTGTTCACCTGCAGCCCCCACAGGCCCGGCTGCATTCTCCTGCACCTCGAGAAATTCGTCTAGCCAACCTGCATCACCTACGGTGGCTCTCTGTAATCTCAGGGAGGCTGAGGCAGGAGAATCCCAAATTCAAGGACCTGATACACAGTAGGCACTCAATAAATGCTTTGCCAATGCAGGAGTGGGCAGATGAATAGCAAGGAGGCCTGGCAGGGTCCACAGGGCTGATGTACAGGACAGAAGTCACCAGGAACCATGTGTGCGCTGGCCCCTGTCACCCTTCCACCCCTGGCCACTAAACTCAAACAGCAAGGAGAAATCCAGGTAGTGCCTGGACCCCAATTGGAGTGCCCTTGGGGGCTGCTGCCCCAGCCCAAGGGCAGAAGCTGCAAAAATCCATGCAGCCAGCCAGGCACACTGAAGTGGCGCATGCCTGTTATCCTAGCACTCTGGGAGGCTAGGGCAGGAGAATGGAAAGTTCTAGCCCAGCCTGAGACTCTGCCTCAAAATAAAAACGAAGAAGGGGCTGGGGAAGGAGCACAGCACTCCGTCCTCCCATGGGCTCCTGCATCAGCCCTGTCCCAGGGTCCCTCACCTTATCCTTCATTCGGCAGCCTCCGCCTTTGCCGTAAACCAATTTACTCAGAAACTCGCTCTGGGCGGTGGGGCTCAAACGGGGACCTGGTGGCTCAGCAGAGCCTGGCAGTCACAGAAACACCGTCGCCATAAAACCATGTAGCCGCTCTGCATTCCGGCCACACTGCTCACCGGCAGCCCCCGAGACTTGGTTATAACGAGTGGCAGGTGTGGCTGTTTAGGGTCAGCGGGCACCGGCTGGAGCCTTTCCCTTTCATGAGCAGGAATTAAAAGGGCCCTGCGCAGCTCTGTGCCGCAGCCCCAAGCTGGAGCCAGCCTGGCTTGCCTTGGCTTCCCAAGCCATCAGCCCGCACGCCGGGAGGCTGAGGCAGGAGGATTCCAAGTTTGACCCCAGCCTGGGCAACTCAGAGACTTCCTGGGACTGTCTCACAATAAATTTTTTTTTAAAAAGGGCTGGGGGGCCTCAGGGCAAAGGCCATGGGTTTCACCCCCTGTACTGCCAAAAAGACAAAACTGTCCTCACTCCCCAGAGCCAGAGGCCTGGGGTCTCCTCCAGCTCTGTCCCAAGGGAACCATGTGGCCCAGAGCAAATCTCTGCTACTCTCTAGCCTCAGCTTCTCCACCTGTACATTGAAGGGGAGCTGACTGATGCCTCATGATGATTTTGTGGGTTTGAAATCTGGGAGGATCGAGGAAACTGAGGAAGAAACAAGCAAGGACCCACCAGGGGCTCGGTGCAGCCCCTAGTCCACATCGACCCCCTCAGCACTTCCCTTGAGGGGACAGAGTCACAGACCAGGGCAGCATGCACAGGTGCAGTGAGGGAGAGAGAGAGGGCTGTGGGCAGAGCATGTGCCAAGGCCCTGAGGTCGGAACATGCAAAGTTCTAGAGAAAGAGAGGCCGTCGTGAGATGGGATGAGAAGGGGAATTGGGGAACGAGGTCCTCAATGCCCTGGCAGCAAGCAGCCTGAGGAATGAAAGCTGTCAGCCCTGTGGTGACCCCAGTCTTACCCCCAGCCCAGCACTGACTGAGCACCTCGTGTATACCAGGCTCCAGGCTGAGCTCCAGGGACTCGGGGTGAGCCAGGTGGCCCTCGCTTGGCCTCAGGGAGTTCCCAGGCCTGTTGTGCAGCAGCCACCCAGTGGGGAAGACTCGGGAGGGCATGAGCTATAGAAGGAGAAGGGCAGAGGAATTGGGTCAGGCTGAGGCAGGGAGGTTTTGGAGCAGGGAAGGGTGTCAAGGGTGGAGCCGCAGCAGATGGGAGGGTTGTGAGGTCAGAGACTTGCCAGGAGAAGAACTGTAAGCAATGCAGGGCAGCAGGGTACAGAGAGGATAAGGGGGCTGCATGGCGGTGCACACGTGTCATCCCAGCACTTGGGAGGCTGAGGCAGGAGGATCTCCATGAGTTCAAGGCCAGCCTGGGCTACATAGCGAGACCCTGAATAATGGGGAAAGAACCCAGCACTGAGGCAGGCACACAGTAGGTGTTTAATGAGTGCACCCAGCTATCCCTACTCTGTCCATACATAATCCAGGAAGACTCACAGAGGCTCCCTCAGTCCCTGAAGCCTGGTGCAGGCTGATCTCCCCTTCTCTGAAACGTTTGCCACTGGAAGTGTTTTTGGATTTCCGATTATTTGGGATTTTGGAATATCTGCACACATAGGAGCTACCTCCGGAGAGGGAGGCTGGTCTAAGCGTGAGATTCATTTATGTTTCATACCCACCTTCTGCACGTGGCCTCAAGCTCTTTCTTTTTGAGGCAGGTTCTCGCTATGTAGCCCAGGCTGGCCTCACACTAGCAGCGATTCTCCTGCCTCAGCCTCCTGAGTGCTGGGATGACAGGCATGCGCCAGGAGCCCGGCTTGGATACAGTTCCTTGTAAACACACAGGTCCCCCTCTCACAGAGTCAGGAACAAGTCTATGTGCACCATCCCCAAGGAGGACAAACGGCTGTTTGCTCCCAAACTCAGGTGACAGGTTTAATGCCGCTGGGGCTGCCTGCGTCCCCTCCAGAAACCTCTGATAGATGCACACTGTCAATGACACGCTGGGAGTCCTCGGAGTGAGAGACCCGAAGGAACCCAGATGCCTGGCTAACTAACAGATAATAAGACTGGTGGCCTCGGGCAGCCGGAGGGCAAGCCCCAGGTGCTGTATCCCTGAGCAACACCCCCAGTCCCTTTTATTTTATTGTGAGACAGGGGCTCATTAAACGGCCCAAGCTGGCCTCAAACGTGCATCCTCCTGGCTCAGCCTCCCAAGAAGCTGGGATGACAGGCATGTGCCACAGCACTCAGCGAGGTGCACACTAAGACGTAGGACAGGGTGTAAAAGATGCTACATTTGTTTAGGCAAGGGACTCAGTCTACCCATGTACTAAGTGCTCACAGACTTGCAGATAACCATACTGTCTGGAATGGTAGTCATGAGCCACATGCAGTTGTTTAAATTTAAATGAAGTAAAATGGGAAAAAATAGAAGGCTCATTTTCTGGGTTACACTGGCCATATTTCAAATGCTCAGTAGCACCTGCGGCTCATGACAACTGTTTTAGGAAGTGTAGATAGAAAGCACTTCTATCATCCAAGAAAGTTGTGCTGGTGTGGAGCAGGAACCAGACCCAAATAAGCTCAGGGCCAAAGCTGGCCCTCCACTTGCTTTTGTCAATAAAGTTTTATTAGCACACAGCCGCACACACTGCGTTATACACCATCCATGGCACGGAGCACAGGAGGATCAGCCAGCTGGCCAAGTTGGCCACATTCACTAACTGGTACTTTTCAGCAAAAGTCTAGCTAGGTGTGGCAGCACACGCCTGTGATCCCAGCTACTTGGGAGGCTGAGGCAGGAGGATCACAAGTGTGAGCCCAGCCTGGGCAACTTGGAGACCTAGTAGGACCCTGTATCAAAATAAAAAAGGCTGGGCAGAGAGCTCAATGTGAAGGGCCTGGGTTCCATCCTCAGTGCCACAAATAAGGAGAGAGGAGGAGGGGCTGTTACCCTCCTTCCAGTGGTCCTGGGGCCCCACGATGCCACCCCACATGTGATCAGCTTCAAACATTTTGCTTAAGCCAACGGGCCAGAAATGGGGCCTCTCTGATTATGCACCAAGGCCCTGGTGATCATGTCATCCCAGAGGTTGCCACGGCAGTGTCCCTGGCCCCTGGGACTCCAAGCCGTCCATCAGGGACCCAGAACCACACGCTGAGTGGCCGGATGAAGAAGCCAGGGAAGCAGCACCAGCCCCAGGGAAGTGGGGGACATCCTTCGTGGGCCGGGCTGGGCAGCAGGGAATAGGGCAGGGCGGGCAGGGGAGGGGCTCCACAGGCTGCGGAGAGGGATTATATATTCATCAGAATCTTAAACAAAAGCCCTGCAGCCGCCTGTCAGCCGCGCTATGGCTTTTATGGTAATCAGCGATGAATTACCCACAATGCCTGGCCAAGCGCAAGTGGTTCTTGGCCCGGATCCTAAACTAATTTTTGGATGTTTGTGTGTATATAATTTTGCTCACTCCCTCCCGCTCCTTTCCTTCATTAATGGGAACAGGGAAGCAGGGGGAGACACAAGCAGAAGGAACCCTGAGTGTACAGTGGGGTGCAGCCCTCATCAAGACCCCTGGCACTCAGGCCTACATGGCTCCATGCCCTGGGAGCAGAGTGAGGAGAGGGAGAGGGGAGAGAGGAGGCTGGAAATCACCAAAAGCCACAACTACTGAAGTCAGGTCTCTGCCATGTGCTGGGTGACCTTAGGTAAGTGCCTTAACCTCTCTGGGCTCAGTATCTTCTATAAACCAAGCTTTCCAAGTCCCAACCCATGTGTGCAGCCAGGGTCACTTGCCTGAGCCAGCTCTCAATCCCTCTGCACTCCTCCTGCCCAACACTGTGTACTAGGCTCTGTCCTACCCCAGGGCCTTTGCACAGCCATTGTTGCCACCTAGAACACCTGTCTTGACTCTGTAGCATTCCACATCACCTACCCTGTCCTTGGTGTACAACAGGCCCTTCATAAATATTTAACCTATTCATTCATTATTTTCTTGCAGCCTGCCCTTCCCTCGGTCTCTTCCCTCTTTTCTGGAATAGAACCCAGAGCCTTGCACATGCTAGACAAGCGCTCACCCTGAGCCACCCAGGCTGGCCTCGAACTTGAGGTGATCCTCCTGCCTCAGCCTCCCAAGTGCTGGGCTTCCAGGTGTGCTCCTCCACGCCCAGCCCCTTTTTAAAGCAGGGTTTTGCTAAGTTGCTCACGCTGGCCTCAAATGCACACTCCTCCTGCCTCAGCCTCCTAAGGGGTGAAGACAAGCGAGCAGCACCACACGCCAAGGGGAGCATTTTCCATCCGTCTCCTCCCTACTCTGTTCCCAGCACCAGATCAGGGCTGGGCACGCAGGAGGGGCTCAATAAATTCCCATCTCTGGCTCTCTAGACTCCCCAGCAGGGTCTTGGGTCCAAAGAGGGCAGAATGACTATTTTCTAAACATGGGGACACTTTTCCTGCCAGCCTTCCTCTGGGTGGAGGCTGGAACCAGCGCTGTGGGAAAGTCACGGCAGAGATGGAGAGGAAAAACCTTCCTCTCCTTGCAGAGCATTCTGGGGGTGCCAAGGCTCACTTACTGGGGGGGGGGGCCCGAGGCTGCAGATTCTCTGTGCCTGGTGCTAAAGTGTGCGACCCACACCTGGCCATGTGTAGTGTGCCAAAGCTGCCCCGGGGCTCACGTCACAGGAAGGCAAAGGACACACACAGGCAGGTTAGCAGGGAGAGACTATATATCTGGTGGAATAGTATGCAGCCCCAAAAAAGGAGCTCCCAGTTTTTTATGTCCCTATAGTGTGACAGTGCTCAGCACAGAGCCATGGGCAGAGGATGTTCCGGGAAAGGGGGAGGAGGTCAACAGATCTGTATTTCCTAATGCCAAAGCAATAATAGCAATATAAGAATAATTGCTAATAGTTACAGGTCAGGCTCTGTGTAGTGGGCACAGACATCACTCAGGGCGAAGGCTCTGGGGCAGTCGAGGCAGAGGCGCAGGAGCCCGGGTGTGGAGACACAAGGTGGCCGGCTGGGGGAATGGTCCCCGACACCCAGTGCCAGAAGAGGGCAGACCTGGAGGAGCCCGCGGCCGGTGACGGGCCAGGGGTGTCTCTGTCACCTCAGTGACACCTGTCCTGCATGAGGCGCAGGATCTAAGACCTGAGCAAGCCTCTTCCCTTCTGTGAACCTCAGTTTCCCCACCAGTAAAGCAGGGTCACCCCCTCCTCAGCTCGGGACAACCTGGGCTGTGGAGTCAATGGAGTGAGCTCCTCAATCTCTCTTGGGTTTTGTTTTTCATCATCTGTTAACAGTTCCGAGCTGGAGTCCCTGCATCAAGCCGTTCCTGAAGCCAGCGTCCTTGAATATGTTTCCTTCAGCTATGAGAGCCAGCTCCCCTGCTTTTCACTAAGGTCAGTTTGATTTGGGTTTCTCCACCTTTCGAGCTGAGGACCTACAGCGCTTCCTTAGTAGCTGGGATGAGGAGCCGAGGGGCTTCAGAAAAGACCAAACCTCTGGGTCTCGGGCCTTTTTCAGTGCCATTAGCAGAAAGCAACACGCACGCGCCATCTCTCCCACCTGGGCCCGGGAGCGGTGCCCACCTACTGCGAGATTCCCCCCCCCCGGCCACTGGCTCAAGACCGATCGGCACGGTCCATCTGAGCAGCACCCACCGTGCGCTGGCCCAGCGCTGGACAAAGGAGGCATCGATGTCACCCGGGGCTCACGGAGACCCAGCAGAAAGCCCTGGCCACGCCCGGAACACCCGGCCCTGCTCTCCACCCAGGCAACTCCTGTTGGCCAGCACTCCCCAGACCAGCGCCACCTCCTCTAAGACGCCTCCTCTGCCTCCCCTCCCCCAGGCGGTTCTGGGGGCTTCTGTCTTTCCTTGCGTTCAAGACGCACCAGGATCCGAAGCATCAACCACAAGGAACGAACAACACCCCGATTACACCACCGTAACACGAGACTTTGTTCAGGTGAAGGAGCCTTTTCTGTACTTTTCCTGTACTAGGTAGGGTTGAACTCAGGGCCTCTGCACTGAGCTCCAGGCCCGGCCCTTTGAATTTGGAGTCAGGATCTCGCTAAATTGCTAAGCTGCCTGGGCTGAGCTGGAATTTGCGGTCCTCCTGCCTCAGCCTCCCAGAGTGCAGGGATGACAGCTGTGTGCTACCGTGCCTGGCTTTTTTCTACTTCTTCCAACTCAGATTTCTAAACACATTTCTCCTGAGCTTCCTAACAAGAGGGAATCGTTAAGGAAGATCCCCAGCCCGTGTTTTCTGTGTTCCAGGGCCAGCTTTTCCAAGTCACCTTTTGCCCCAGAGTTCTGCCCACAGCACTGTTCCCCATTATGGGGGGTGGGGTGGGGTGGGTGATGGTTGATGTTGTCTCCCCTGGGTACCAGGATTTTCCTCCCAGGTGCTCTGAGGGATCCACGGAGCTCCTCTTTAGCCTCACACAGTCCAGCAACGTTTGCTGACTGACACTCTGTGAGCCACACCTCCCTAGCTCCGTCCTACCCCAGGGCCTTTGGACAGCTGGGCTCTCTGGCTGGAACCCTGCTCCATACATTCACTGGGCTCCTCCTCACCTGCATGTGCGTGTCCCTCCACTGTCACCTCTGCTGTGACCTTGTCCCACAGCCTCTCAATGACAACACTCACCCCTCACTCCGAGTCCCCTTTCTCACGGTTTTCAGGGTTCCTGCCCCTGGTTGCTCACTGACCACAGGACTGTAACCGCCAAGTCCCAGCACAGCGCCCGGCGAGGACCTGAGCATGAACCCCCTCCCCGGTGACCCAGGGCACTGCTCCGGGCTGGTGGCCGTGAGCCAAGTGGCTGCTTCCGGGGGCTGGTGGCAGAAGTGCCCTCGCCCACTCTGGCCCAGCCCTTCCTGTCCCCATCTGTGCCCTCGCCGCAGCCTCTGCCACCGGCAGCTGGCACCTGCTGCAGGGACGGAAGCAGGGGTGGCCACCTCGGGGCCTGAGTGTCTGGTGCTGGACCTCGAAGCCCCACGGGATGCTCAGACTCCACCCTGAGGAGGGGCTGGCGTGGGGCACCCGATGGCTTTACCCCCCCAGGACTGCGGTGGACCACAGGGCCTTTGAACTGGCCCTTTTTATTTTTTGAGGGTCTCACTAAGTCACTAAAGTTGCACAGGCTGAGCTCCAACATGGTGATCTTCCTGCCTCAGCCTCCGAGTGCTGGATGACAGGCGTGCACCATCACCCAGCTCCGATAACTACTTCGAAAATAACCACCTTTTAACCACAGCCCTGCTCAGTGCTACCATGCTGGGCCCTCTTAAGGGTGGGAGGAGGTCAAGGTTGCCATGTTGTCCCTTCCACAGGTGGGGAAACTGAGGCCCAGAGAGGCAAAGCACAGAAACAGGGACAGCACCAGCACCAGCACCAGGGTTCAGGCTCTGGACATGTGGGACAAGAATTCACCTTCCAGGGCTTCCCAGGGTGATGGCCCGGACTCCTCAGCCAGAGCCCTGGTGGCCACGGGGATAAGCAGCTGCCCCGCGGGGCTGAAACGTAGCCAGCGATGCTCCTGCGAGGGGAGGCCCCGCGTCACGCGTGGGCGGCAGAGCCGGAACTCGGGGCACAGCTATTTCTGGAGGCCGAGGCGAGAAAGTGGGGGCGGCGGAAGAGCCTCACAGGAACGGGGAGGCTGGGGGCCCCGGCGGGGGGCTCAGGGCCTGGTGTCCTCTGTGGGAATGGAGAGCCGGGTGCAGAACCCCGAGCCCCTGTGGGCGCCAGAGGAGGAGCCAGGCAGGGATGCTGTCCCCAACAGGCGACAAGACGCCCGGACAGACTGGCCGGGCCCTGGGGCAAAGCCAAGCTAGGACCTGGAAATGTGGAGCCGGGTGGACGGCTGGGCTGCAGATTTAAATACGGTCAGAATCATGGCCTGGAGAAGCCGGGGTGTGTGTG